CCGAAGGCAGACGCTTAATGACTGAGCCACCCAGGCGCCCCAGCTTTTCACCGTTTTAAATTCTGATAAAATCATCTGCTTCTTTTTCTATTTATGTCATAATTTATTTTTATGAAAACCAGGAGTATATTGCATATAGCAGTGGATCTCTAATTTGTGTGCTAATTGATAGAAAAGGAAATTTAGTGGGTCTGGGGTAGAGCCCAGGTCCCTGCATTTTTTATATGAGAAATGCTAATATATAAGATATGCAAATAATTTTAATGTTGAATTTGGGGTAACAATTCCTCCTCCCAGTGATCCTTCTGGAATTGCAAATCATACTTTCTAAAGAAGTAAACACACTGAAGCTACACAGTCAATCAAACAGAAACTCAGGGTTCATGACTGGGTCATAATTTAAAAAAATTATTAACCACTATCCATGTTTCTAGAATTAATAGGATCAATAAAACAATCTTAGGTGTTATAAGGGTAGTTTGAGAAATCATAATCTCTGATACACACATGCATATATATGTATATACATATATAGTACTTTAATGACTTACAAAGTACTTTTGAATGCTTCTTGGTGATGTGGGGTAGGGTAGAAGGGAAATGCCCTAGCTTTAACCTAAGTCTTAATTTCCTCTTTAATTTATACAAGCTGAGCAAGTCCGCTGACTTGGTTAAGGCAAGTCTGCCAGAAAACCCTTGGGAGGGAATTTGCCCTAAGGCAAATGTTAGGCGCCTAAAACCGTAGTCATTTTTGGAGATTATTTGGGAGGGAGGTTCCAATTCAGAATACACAGCATTATGGCTGGCCCACAAATTTGTCTCCTAGCCCAAGTCTCAGTGAATTCATGTTTGAATGAATTGGGGAAAAGATGAGGCTTTCAGGAAAAAAAGGGACTATTTTGCTAAGAACTCTTTAAGACCTTGAGGTTTAAGCAGCACTGGGATGCTATGCACCTGGATAAGTATAATATTAAAGCTGAAGGAGGGGCATTCTCCATTTATCTGTAGGAGATACAGTTCAGCTTTGGCCCAGGAGGGACTCCAGAGCAATCAGGGAAAACTTCGCAGCTGGAGGACCCAGGCACCTTAGCTGTGGGGCAGGGGGGCTTGGAAGGAGCAGGACCCAGGAGAAGAGGCAGCTGTGCCCAGCAGTTGTGACAATATCCAAGGGAAGAGAATAGCAGGACAGAAATAGAATGTGGCACGCAGCTGGGATCTCACAGGAATTATTTCTGGGTGTAAGTGAAATCTCCTTTGGGTTCTATCCCCTGTATTTGAAGGGTATCTATAGGAGTTGGGGGTCCTGCATGTGCAGATGGGGGAAAACCAGGCAGCTCTAGGATCTTCATTTGGCTCCACAGCCACCTTGTAAGTCAAGCATCATTCCTCTTTCAATGGGAAAAGAATGACCCTTAAATAAAAGTACCTGGTTTGTTTTTCTGCCTGAGATTTAAAAGAAACATGGGATTGGGGCACCTGGGTGGTTCAGTCCATTAAGCTCAGCTCAGGTCTTGATCTCAGGGTTGTGAGTTCAAGCCCGCATTGGGCTCCATGCTGGGCATGGAGCCTACTTAAAAACAAACAAACATGGGATTTACTTTTCTTTAAAGTTCTGAGAAGTATTTATTAAGTGCCACATTGTCTTTATAAGCTGATTGACAGTTTTTAAAGTTTTTCCCATTATATATTTTTTGCAACAAAAGTAAAATGTTTGTCTTGAAAAATGAGAAGTTCCGATGAAGCAAAAATGAAAAACAAACCAAAACACCTATTACCGCAGATAGCCACTGTTAAGCCATTTAAGTATATACTTTCAGTTTTCTCTTTGCATATTAATATATAAATATACATTTTTTACAAAAATGGGATACAACATATACTTTTCGAAATTTTTTTTTTCACTTCACAATATATAATGTACATCTTTTCATGCAAATGGGTGAGACTCATGATTGAAAAAGGGAAACTTGCAGCTTGTGGGCGGGGAAAACCCAATTTTATGCCAGTTACAAGTGAAACACCTAGAATAAAGCCACGCGAAAAGTTATAATTGAGATGGGCAAAGGTATATGAGAAAATACCACCTTCAGGTGGCAACACTTAATATCAGGCAAAACAGAATTAAAGGCCGAACACATTAAATAGGATAAGGACGGTTCCGTCTCGCCTTCCAATGCATAACCATCAATTTGTTGCGTACTCTTTTCATTTCTTCCATCTCTTCTGCTACCTTTATCATCTCCTCATTGCTTAAATTTCTGCCGTGTATGTCCCCTCTAAATTGCGGGCGAGAGCGAGCCAGCCTCTCTTTAAAGCTTCCTTCTTCTAGCTTATGTTTTCCCACTCCACAAGGAGGCTGCTCCATGGGAGGGCGCTCTTCAAAAAGGTCCCTTCTAGAAAGGCGCTCCTGAGGAGGGCGCTCCTCGGACACCAGCATCTCGGGAAGGAGCTCGGGAAGGAGCTCCTCGGGAAAGAACTCCTCCTCCGAGGACTGCTCCTCGGAAGATGGTTCCTCCGGAGATTGCTTTTCGGGAGAGTGCTCCACAGGAGGCTGCTCCTCATCCGTCTTGGGTGCGCTCTGTGGCTGTTCTTCATTTTCTTGGCAGGATTTTTCCATGTTCAGGATGGTCTTTAAGTAGTTATTCATAGGAGACAAGCAAGGCAGAGTCAACACACTTGGTGGCTGGATCAAAACCCCGGCCCCGGTTCCCATACCTGCCTTTCCCCGTGTCGGGGCCCAGGTTCCCCAACCTACGCTTGCCGAGGGGCTCTCCGGCCCTGGGGACCCCGCCGCGTCCCACCCCTCGCAGCCTCCCTCGCCCCCTCCTTCCCGAAAGCCCACCGTTTTCCCAGCAGGCCTTGCCACAGGCCTCTCCCGCAGTGGCAGTGGCAGTGGCAGGGGCGGGGCGGTGGTGCTGCCGACTGCGTTCCCGTCAGCGTCCTCCCTCGCACCCCATCCCGGGCCACTGCCCACCCTTTCCCCGACCTGGACCTCTCCTGGCGGTTTGCTCTAGGCGTCCTCTCCTCAAGGCGCACCGCGGTGACCTGCAGACCTGCAGACCTGCAGACAGACGCAAGACAGGGTAGGGGGCGGGGAGTGGGGAGGAGGGAAGGACTGACTGACACCACACGTCCCTTTCCTGGGCATTAGCCGCCGCCCCCACGCCGGCCCCCTCTGCTACCCCTCCCCCAGGCCGCACCTCAAGCTTCATCCTCCGTGCCCCACCACCCCGCACCCCGCAGTGCTCGTCATTTTTTTTCAGGCGGCAAGTGCAAGCAAAGGATTACTTAGAAACTATTTCTAAGTGACTGTGTCCCCCAGGGGCCCCCACTCATCTCCCCACCTCACCCCAAGACCACCATTTTCTGCACCGAAATGTGGGCGCAGGGGGCGGGGCTGGGTCTAGGAAAAGGCCTGGTACTCTCTGCCATCCCGATCCCAGAGGTTACTGGGCAGCAAAGACCCTCATACCGATTTAAGAAGACCAAGGGGACTTACTTCCTTCTGCTCTTCCCCTCGACCAAAGGGCAGGAGGCAGACGGTGTCTGGACAGGCAAAAACGACCAGGAGAGAGGGACTTGGGCAGACATAGGCTCCTGGTCACGTGAGGGCCGCGCGTCACCGCCGAGCTCAGATCCCCAGTTACCACTTTGACCGCGGGCGGCCGTGCTGCAGCCTGCCAGTATTTCCTAACACGCAACACATCAGGCATCGTCACTCACCTCTTTGTTTATATTTGCCTTTTCCTGGTTACCAGAGACGGTCAGCATCCAGTCTTGGGAGTTATTGCCTCTTCTTCTCTGCTGCTTACCCTGATACCACCTCTCTCCCTTATTCTCCCGTTGTCCGCCACCAAGGCGCATTATTTCCCCTACGGGCCAGAGCCTGCACTGAAATTTGACTATTTGTCCTTAATGAATCGATACCATATGTCACCTTTCCCAGCTTTAATCCACATCTCTAACTCCATCAAGTCCGTTTAGGCTCTATCAACATGGTTTACTTGTCACTTTTATGGAAGATAAGCTTTCACTTTTCCATGACTTAAGGATTTTTTTGAGCCCCCAAACCTGTATTACAAATAGAGGCTCCAGTCTAAATTAGTAATCATTCAGCTCTAGAACTCTAGAAAGAGTTGTTTGTAAAGTATGCAAATTAAAAACATGAATACTTTGATTTTCATAAATCAAAATACACATTTGTCCATCTAAGTACAAATAGTCTAAAAACGTATTTATTATCTGTAATGGGAGCATTTTTGGTGGACACTGTGGCATTATTATATATGTGTATATATGGATACTATTTTTTAAAATTTTTAAGTAAACACCACCCATGGGGCTTGAACTCATGACCCCAAGATCAAGAGTCACATGCTCCACTGACTGAGCCAGCCAGGCACCCCTATATGTATGTGTGTGTTTGTCTGTGTGTGTGTATACACACACATTTTTATATATATGTGTGTATATGTATATATATATGTATATATATAGAGAAAGAGATTTTTCTGGGACTCTAAATCCTTAACCAGCCACCTCTTGGTGTTGCTGGTCGAGAAAGTGTATGTTAATTCATTAAATCAGCAAGTATCTGGGTCCTGAGACAGCTGTACCCAAAAGATTCAGCACAGAAGATATTCATATCCAACTATGCAATAATTCTGTTGACCACACACTGAGTAGCAGGATTAAAATCATATTAACATTCAACTGTCATTACAAGTATGTATGTTTAGATCTAATGGTGTTTTATGATCTTCAACCTCATGCCTGCATCTTACTACTCATATCAGCCTGGATGCTACCTTCTCATGCAGGTACCCTTTCTTCCAGAGAGTAAAGTATACCTCTCCTCTCTGTATTTTATAGTTTCAGGGTCGGTGGCTATCAGATCTGTGAGGATCCTGGGATCATTTTCTTTTTTTTTTTTTTTAAGATTTTATTTATTTGACAGAGAGAGACACAGCTAGAGAGGGAACACAGCACGGGAGAGGGAGAGGGAGAAGCAGGCTTCCCGCCGAGCGGGGAGCCCGATGCGGGGCTCGATCCCAGGACCCTGGGACCACCTGAGCCGAAGGCAGATGCTTAACGACTGAGCCACCCAGGTGCCCCTCATTTTCTTTTTCAAACCCAGGCTGTCTAGTAAGTTTCCAAACAAATTCATATGGGAATTTTCCTATTTTAAGAGCTTTTTGTCACTTTTTTCCAACATCTAATTTACTTTGTGTTGAGATAGCAAGACAAATATTAGTTCACTTTTGTATCTTTTCCATAAATGTTTTACTTTTCAATTTTTCAGTGATGTGTGTCTTTTAAAATCCAAGTTTCACTATTCCTTCTTTATTCTTTTCACCAAAGGCTGGCTTCATCATTTGTATGGTTTCTTTCCAAGAGGACCCCCATTTTATTCATTTCTTCACTTCTATCCTTTTCCCCCTTACATCCTGTGATGAAGAACTCACTACCTTAAAAGACACTGATTGAAATTTCATACAGCTGTAGTCATTCAGAGTAGTTTTTTCTTTTATTGAGCTGATACCTGCCTCCCAGTAGTTTACATACATTGGTGTTGGTTCTGCCCTCTGGAGTGATACGAAACAAGAGTGAAGTAACAAAAGTGCCTTTTACCCTTGATAGCCTGACACTGCCAGAGTTAATGTTCTAGTTCTTTCCCCTTCCCAGTTGTGAGGCACACTGGGCAATCTACTTGAACTTTCTGTGACTCAACTTCCTCATCTGCAAAACTGAAGACATAATAATACCTACCTCATGGGATTGGGAAAATGAGTAAGTAAGTCCGTATATGTAAAGGACTTGGAAAGGTACCTAGCACATAGAAAGCACTCTGTAAGCATTAACTATAATAATAGAAATAGTAATAATATGACCTAATGCTAATATTACTATGAATTATTGTTTATTTTTAATTTTTATTTTAATTTAATTTTTTAAAATTATTGTTTTTTCTTAAGGTTCTATTTATTTATAGAGAGAGAGCGAAAGCGAGAGAGATCACAGAGGGAGAGGGAGAAGCAGACTCACCACTGAGTGGAGAGCCCCATGCGGGGCTCGATCTCAGGACCCTGAGATCATGACCTGAGCCGAAGGCAGACGCTTAACTGACTGAGCCACCCAGGTGCCCCTTTAATTATTGTTTTTTAAATTAACATTAATTCAGCATGTATGCCAGGTATTGTGCTAAGCATTTTCAATATGCTATCTCATTTAATCCTTAAACAATTATATTCTCACCAAGACTTTTTTATTTAGGCTTAACCTCCCCAGTTATTTCAGTTCTTTCTGATATGATATACTTTTTCAAAGTCTCTCACCATCCTACATGCTCCTGAATTTGTAAATGCCTCTGAAAATACTGAATGTTCTGCCTAGTGTAGAATGGAGTGATCTTATCACACCTTCATTCTAGAATAACTACTATACATCTGTAGATGCATCCTAAGATCATACTAGATTTTTAGATGCCATATCACAGTTAAATCCACTTTAATTGCAATCACCTGACACCCCCAAATCTGTTTCACACATCCCTGTTAATACACTTATATAAATCATTCTAATTTCTAAAATTTTAATTCCAATATAGTTAAATACAGTGTTAAATTACTTTCAGGTGTACAATATAATGATTCAACAATTCTATGTCTTACTCAGTGCTCATCAAGATAAATGTACTTTTAATCTCCTTCACCTATTTCACCCATCCCCCACACCCACCTCCCCTCTGGTAACCATTCGTTTGTTCTCTATAGTTAAGAGTGTGTTTTTTTGGTGTATCTCTTTTTCCTTTGTTCATTTGTTTCTTAAATTCTGCATATGAATGAAATCATATGATATTTGTCTTTCTCTGACTGGCTTATTTCACTTAGCATAATACTCTATCTCCATCCATGTTGCAAATGGCAAGATGTCATTCTTTTTTATGGCTGAATAATATTCCATTGTATATATATATGCCACACCTTCTTTATCCATTCACCTGTTGCTGGACAGTTGAGCTGCTTCCATAGTTTGGCTATTGTAAATAACGCTGCAAAAAATGTAAGGGTGCATATATGTAAATCATTTTAATTTTAACCCAAGTATAGAAACGTCTGTTTTTCTGGGCTAAATGTTGTCTTGTTAGATTCACTCCCTTATTCTTTGAATCCAAATTCTATCATTCAGTACATTAGCTACAAAATATTAATTTAAAGCATGCCATTAGTACTAAATAGGCTGATAAATTCAGCAAGTTAAGGAAAGATCTAGGGGAGATCTCAGCAAAGAGCTCTAACTACAAATGAAAAAATTCCTTTCCCCTGTTGGGTTTGGCGGCCAGGAGCGTGCCCTGCCAGGCCTGTTCCCCTCCTTTCCTCTCTCAGTGTGACCTTGTAGGGTGGGATTACTTTCTAGTGCTGCTGATAGTAGGAGACACAGTTGACCCTGAAAGCTCCCAAACTAGTATAAATTAACCCTTGTTGAGAACTTGGCAAACATGGGGGTCAGACAAGGGAGGTATAAAGAACTAGAACCAGGAATGGAAGGAAGAATGAAGACAATGTCTTTGTGTTGGCTCTAAGTCTCTGCCTGACAGTAACTGATTTGGGGTTCCCTTGAGAGAAAGGGCTCTCAAGAGGAAATAAGGTGAAGGTGGTTCTGCCATGGTGACAACCATTTGTTACAAAGGAATGTGGTCTGCCACTTGTGTGTGGTTGGGGTGGATGCTATGAAATAACCCTTCTTCTGGATTTGATTCGATACTGCTAACATAGGGTCCTGTGAGGACATGTTGCTGGGCTCACAATTGCTAGGGAGGGTTTAAGTCTAAGAAATGCCATTTTATTTTATTTTTTTTAAAGATTTTATTTATTCGACAGAGAGCACAAGTGGGGGGGCAGCAGGCAGAGGGAGAGGGAGAAACAGGCTCCCCACTGAGCAAGGAGCCCGATGTGGGGCTTGATCCCAGGATTGAAATCCTAGCAGTATGATGTAAGAGATGGAACCTTTAACCACCTTGTAAAACTGCTCCTGGGCTGTGGGCTCCAGGCACGTTTACATGCAGCCAGGGTGGAGAGTACAGGCCTTTTCAGGTAGCAGGAGCTGAAGGAATCAGAAGGCAGGCAGGGCAGCCCTGCAGGCAAGGGGGAGGGCAGTCAGACCCTGGCAGCTGCTGCCATGGCAACGGTGTCCAGGGCCCTGGCCTTCCTCTGGGGGATCTGAGGAAGCCAAGGGTGAGTTTCTGGTGTAGGGATTCCCGTTCTCTGGTGAGGCTGCCCTTCTGTGGCAGAAACAGAGCCCCCTCCGTCTGAGCCCCTCCAGAGCACAGATTCCATGCAGGTCTGGTTTCACTTTGCAGGGCCTGTCCGCCTGGAGTCCAGGAGGAATGCCCTCTCCAGCTCAGAGGTTCCCCCTGCTGCCGCCGCCTCTGCATTCTTTCCTAATGACACCCATGGCAGCATTTTGGTCTCAAGACTAGCTGCTGTGGATTGCAGCAGGCCCTGTCCAGCCTGTAGCTCTCAGGCTCTCCCCCACTTTCGTCCCGGGGGAAATAACCAAGTGGGAAATGCAGAGACAAGAGCCTTCTCTTTTCTGCTTCTGGCCTCATCCTGACTGGGGCTGGACACACACACACTCACACCCCCCCACACACACACTCACACCACACACA